ACAAAGCGCTGGACTGGATAACTCTGTTTTTGTAACGCCTTAAACTTTCAGAAAATCTAGTTGATCAGAAGTTGACTGCATAGTGTGGAAAATATGAATAAAAAAAAAACAAATGATTTTTGAATTTAACGAATGTTTCGATTTTTTTTTAGCGTGCCAAACAACGAACTCTTAGTAAGAACATTATTAAAACGAACGCCATAATAATAATAATATTTGCTCGCATGTCGCATGTCATTTGTTCAATAGCAAACAGCTACTCACAAACACAAAATATATACATAATATTATACACTAAGGTGCATTTGTACGTTAATTAAAATGTTATTTCGACGACTGGTTTTCCGAAATCTGTGCTCCGGTGTACATTATTTTGTTATAAGCGTAAGTGTAACGACGATGTTTTAAAATAATTACTATTTTTAATTTCACTACCGCCCCAGGATTAGGTGACGTGGGTGCCCGTGAAAATTGATTTGAGATAATAATAGCTCAACATCTACCGTTCTCGGTTCGGCGGTACATCATAGATCACAATCAGTGGTATAAAGGTAAGTTGTGGCCTAAGAGGCCACTGGCCCCAAAATTCAAAATTGTAATTACCTAGCGTAAAATAAGTATGATAATGATTTAATTAGTATACATTTCTAAGAACCATTCTAAAAATGTTCAAGTTTACTGTTTGTTTACCCAAAGTTTAGTTTAGTTTAGTTCAGGATTATTTATTAATAATTATAATGTTATTATCAATAACACTCCCTGCAATAAGCAGTGCTAGTCCACAACTATTGTTTTGAAGTTCCATTGATCCAAGCTTTAAAGCAATTGAAAATATGTTTGACAAAAACTGAACTTCGATGAATTGATCGGTTTATAGAATTAAAGCCAGGAAAAAAATCACTTAACAGTAATTTCCATCGTACATTTTTGTAAATATTATACTAATCTTCCTTGACATGTTTTGTACCAATGTCTAACTAATTGACTTTTCGGCATCACTTAATGTTTGTTTTTCAGCCTAAAATAGTGAAGGGTTATCTTTTGTTTATCGTTAAATTGTTATGCTACGGGGCCCTACGAACCAAGTTATGCCACTGATCACAATACAGATGTAATAATAATATGTGTATTATAATTTATATCACGACCTTTCCTAAGCGGACGGTTATCTCGAGTCGTTGGCTGCATAACTAAGCGGACACTCGGAGGAGAGTTGAAAGAAAAGAAAAAAATGTTTCCACCGGAGGTCGTTTGTTTGTTTACATATTTATTTATTATGGGTATAACTATATACCCCGGAATATACCTATATTATCATACACGATATGTGTATTATACGCGGATACAATTTATAGCGCATACCTATATTATACATTGCCTATTGGTACGCTACCGGCCGGTCGGTCGCCGACACTTGCGTTCATAATAATATTATATTTATGTAGACCACCACCTCCACCGCCCGCTCGTCCACAGCCGGTCTAATATATTATTCCCGGTCGTAGTGTACACACATTATAATAATATACCTCCATAATATAATATATTGTATACATAATATAGTACCTAATACGCGTATTATTATAATGTACCTACAGATCGTTGAAATTTCACTGCTGGCGCGACCCCGTACACCGCGGGATAATGTGGCGCACATACGTATTATGTGTATAGACTTATAGTTGTACATATTATAATATTATGCCTCATAATAATAATTATAAAACGTATGCCATTAAAAAGGAATCGCGTATTACGACCGACGATTATTATAATAACGAACGACCGATCGATCGGCCGACCAATCGATATTATCTCACTGCAGCAGCAGCAGCAGCAGCAGTCGCGAAACCGGTAGCTGCGGTGCATTTTATCGGATAAGACCAGATTTATTCATGATGTCAGGTGTGTGTGTGTGTGTGTGTGTGTGTGTGTGTGTGTGTGTGTGTGTGTGTGTGTAGGCACCAGATTGCAGGTAAATTGCGCTATCTCGGTGTCGAATCGTCCGATTGCGAACAACTGTGCTGCGGTTGCCAATAACCGTATAATATTATTATATAAATTAGACAGCTCGGCGACGGACGGACGATGCGAATATACCTATATTATAATTCCTACCAACATTTTATACGCGTATTGAATTTCAGTGGCGTCATTTGTCATATATACACACGTTTGCGCCGTCGCGGTGTCTGGCGTGTGTATAGGTTTAATAATAATTGTATTCACAATCCTCTCGAGAGTCGGCGAGTTTTTATAATTTTTAGCGTTCTCCGGTCTTACATCACGCGAGATAAAATGACCAGCGGATGTGCAAATTCCAGGGACTGATATGTATTTCGGCAAATTCCTTGAAATGTTCTCAAAACAGGGGAGTGTACAATGGAGATTACAATTTTCATTTATCATACTTCTCAAATGTTCCAGTATCTAATTTAATTATAGTCAGAAATTATTTGAAATATATTAGGAGATACATATACAAGAATAGAATTCAAGTTACACACTTAAATGTTAGTCGTCAGTGTAAAGATTAGATTTTAAATTTATGTGAATTAAAATACAAATTCCCCAGTTGTTACTAGAATGAATCCGAAATATTCCTTGTTCCCTGAAATGTTGTTCGAGGAATATTCCTATAGTAGAAAATCGTTAACAGCAACTCAATGAGATATGGTAAAGAAAAATCGCTTTCTGCACTTCACTTTTGTTCCAAATCGTGGCAGACGTATATGATCCTGATTTACGTAATTTACATATATACCTGCAGGGAACGTCATATTTTGACCTGAACATTTTTCATAAGCACTTTCTTGTTTTTATCCTTATTTTAATACGTCTTATATTCTAGAAAGTTATTGCGATTGTTATATATATTGGGAAAAAAAGGTATAGGTGATTAAAAAAGCTGCCGACATCATCCCCTGGATGACAGAAATTCCCATGCAACAATTTCACTATTGCCATCCTTCTTAAGGAGTTTGAAAACCATGCTTTTTCCTATATAACGTAAGTTTTCCAAGGAAAACCCCCACCCTAATTGTTACACTTCACCTGTCAGTCGGAAAAATGAATTTGCAAACAATTTGAAAATGTTTGTAGAAATGTTTTCGCACAGCTGGCGTTCAAAGTTTGAAACTCTTGTATCGCGTTGTAATCGATTATGCGAATAGAATAACAATAAATAATAACACGAATATAGTTTTATCGTCTTAATAACATCAACACCGTAGTCCGGTTCAGAGATAAAGTATTATATTATACGAATGCGAATAATATTCCATTAGTCCTGCGACCGCTCGCCCACGCACCTATATACATATAATAACCTCATCGTACACGCGCGTGGGACCCCGACCATAGTCCACCAGCTGTGGCAGTTTGTTAGCGACGTCCGCCGCCGCACCTTGCCCGCCCGACACGCCTAGAGAAACATATTATAGCGCTTAGAAAAAACGAGGTATCAAATATTATTATTATTATTTGTAATGTACAATATGTGATCGTTTTCGGATTTCCACATCGTCGGCACAACCACCGCCACCGTAAATCTCTTCGGAGTGAAAAATATTGTAATCACACAATCGACCATGTACCTATTTTCTAGTGAATTTGACGATGGCAATGTTTAATACAATTAGCAGAAGAGAGAGACAGAGAGGTTAGAAAATATTGTAGAAACTCGTACCTATATGATGGGTCATGAACTTCGACATAATATTTAGTTCTGTTACCTTAAAAGTCTTGTGTTGTGTTTTATAGCGATTATAATATTATATATAGTACATTATATCATATGAGAGTATCATTGCTTTTAATTTCAAGAACCGATCAGGTAAAAAAAAGTTTTTGAACACACTCTTAGACAAAAACATACGATGCAGAATGTGCATATCATATAGATAGTGTGATCCGTTTGAAAATGGGAGTATGTACCATATAATATTATTATATTATATCGAGTATTGTCTGAAGGATATAATAATAGTACACTGAAATAACAATTAAAGTACGTCATAATATACCTATTCTTGATAAACCCTATAGCATGCGCCTTGGAAACTAATATAGGTATTACGATCAAAAGTATTGGTAAATCAATTTCTCGTCAGGACCTACACATGTAGATATAATATATAAAGTATTGGACAACCATTATTTGTGTTCGAGTTCAATGTTCATACTTAGTGTACCTACACTTTATAGGAACTTATTCAAAAAAAATATATAATACCTTTGCATTCCATTGAACAAAATAAAAGAAATTGTCAACTATGTCGGAAAGAGTACAATATTATGTACGTCGTTAAGTATGTTAACTGAGGGGGAAGTACATTGTGAAAGCAGTACCACAACGGCTAGTATAGTGGTGCAGGCTCGATTAGAAAAAACATGTTGACCAAACCTGCAAGATCTTACAATGTAACGATAAATTTAATCTAGATACATAATATTATGTCTTTTTTTCATTTGGATTTATCAACTTTGTGTGCTACAAGCAGCGTGACTGTTGTTTTCTTGGGACGAGCGTTATAATAATAAATAATAATAATAATGTCGTTTTAGTAGGTATTAAACTTATTAAAGGTACTTTCTCGTTCGTGTCTAAAGGTCTACAACCAACAAACGTGAAGTACTTAATCGTTATACATTTTAAAAGATTTCCCTGCTCACCCTCCAACGCTACATTTAAATATTTTAATGTGTATTCTTTTTTCACGAAAAAATAAGCAAAGTTATTCGGTTATTTGGTCTCCATCAACCACCGATAAGGTACAATTAGTTATCGATTAACAGATGTGCAGAACAAGTTATTCAATTTAAGGAACCTAGTCAAGCCCCAGCGGCCCAGCTATACTTATCTAGATAAACTAAATTCCAATTACTTATAATTTTTATCCATATAAGTGTGCGACTTTTAACCGACAACTTATTGACCACTTCTCAATGGTGTTAATATTATTATTTATTTAAAATAGGTTATTTATTATGATAAGTACCTGTTGTAGTACGGCTTGTCCGCGGCGTAGGTCGTCATCATGGCATCCGGCGGTACGGGGTCGTTGGTGCCGCTGTGCTGGTCAGCCACATAGTTGATCAACATGTCCAGATCAATGAATTCCTCGTAGGGAACAGCATCCGAAGGTGAATCCAGGTGCTGATGGTGCTGTGCGTCGTCGAGAGGATGGTTTCCGACGTCAGGTGCCATCGGGTCGCATCGCCTATGGCTGTCTGTTGACGGAGCCAACCCGGGGACGGTGCCCGATCCGCACATGTATACCGGCGATGCCTGTGGGGCCGCCGGGTTGCCCAGCCAGGAGATGGTATCCTGCCACACTTGCCAGTCATCCTGCAAAAAAAAAAAATCAAATGGAAATCAGTTCAGTGACGGGTTGCGAGGTCGCACACTTAATGTAATATTATATAATATTGGTGAGTTATTCTAGGAATGATAAAATTGGTACCTATAGATACAAAATATATACTTATATAAATTAAATACTCGACAAATTCGACTAGGCAGGCTGCGCCGATTCCATAATTGTTGGAATCACGTACCTAACTGTTTTAATGCAGACCTTATTATGACTTAGGTAAGCATTTTTCTTTAAAATATAATAATTATAATAACGAATAAATGTAAATTATGTAAGGCTATTTATAACTATCTTGAGATATACAATTATTAATCAAGATCTTAATTTCTTGTAATCATGTACCTGATATAAGTTATTACAAACGACATAATTAATAAAAATCAATCAAAAAAATATATACCTACTTTGTTTGAATTTTAAAGCACAGTTAAGTACGGTTTTTTTTTTTATTAAACAACATACATCACATGGCATAGTCTTAGGTGCAATTTGGAAGGGGGCTTGAGTGTGCTTAGCAACCCCAAATTTGTCAATATTAATTTACATTTTATTAGTCGTTATGTGGGTATCCATAACCATAAGATAATTTGAAAAAAATAGAGCGAGTTCAATTCTTATGCATATTTTTGTTTATAAATTGGAATACTATGCGAATACACCAGAAAATAACTCGACGCACGATTTGAATGTATTTTATACTATTATTATGTGTAGGAGTACCAACACATCAAGCACAGTAATATTATAATAGATGGGTGTCTGAAATTATGCATAAACTATTATGATTTTGGCACACTCGTGTGTGAAAGTTTGTTTTTCTTTCGACATAATATGGTTCGTTTATACATTTAGTCCGAATCTGTGAATGATAACTTATTATAATGCGTATTCTATGTTGGACACCGTGTCTCAATACACTCGTGAACGCCGGCCCTGAATATAAATCGTACGAGTTTGATATATTTTAAAGAAATGATTGTTTATTAAAATAGAGTCGAAACTAGTTATTACAGATATTCAATTTAGTACTACTAACCCGATCCGAAATTATTAGCATAATTGGCGAACAATGTAGTAAGTATAGTAAATCGCGACTGTGTAGGTAATAAGTACAATTTTAAAAACTCGACGAGAAATCTCGGTTTAAATCTGTATAATTTTATACTCTAAATACCATAGGTATGTGCTGTAATTCTGTAGGTACTTATTTATTATTTTTGTTTTCAAACGTACTTATCCAGGAAATTCGTGTCAATTATCATTATATACACTACTCTGCTGCAGCCAGTATAGTAGTTAAAAATATTATGTAACTAAGACACACATTTTGTAATACATATGAAATAAAATATAACTTTTTAAGTGTCAAGAAATATTCAATGTATACCAATACGAAAATCAGGTTTGATTGTGCTGTTTATAAATGGATAGCTGAACGCATAAACTAATTGAATAATTTATACTCAAACATCAAATTAGAATATTTTATTATATTTTATTTTGCCAACAATTTAATTACTTATTTAATTTATATTTTAGTAAATTGTCGATATACATAACTAATTTATCATGATTCATAACTACAATCAATCCGAGACAAGGTAGGTAGGTACTCCGCATATAGTATAAAATATAAATACTATCAATTCAATTCAAACGATATTGTACATTTTACGATATATTTCTAATGAAATTGTTAATTTTTGTTTTTAAAAGAATACCGTCTTGTGACACCGTGTACATTGATATTTCAATATTTAATGCGTGTGTTCCTATTGACCGTTATTGGTCACTGGTTAACACTTCGGAAGCAGTTAACAAGGCTAGGGGTAGGGACATCGTGTCTTGAAATACTTTACAACACGTACCTATGCTTTATGCACTAAATATATACAATAATAACATTGAAAATTAATTATTTATGTATATTAAATTACGTAACACATTTTTTTAACTGCCGTTTTTTTATTATTCAACATTTATTATGAATACTTGATTAATTTTAATATATATATACTGTCACTCGTTCATTACGCCGACGATACAGACGGGTAAGAATGTTTTCTTAATTTTCGTGTTCGAACAAAATGTAGACGTATCTACAATCCACATGCACAGAAAACGGTGGTGTCCGTACCAATTTAACTAAAACTTAAGAGTTAAGGGAACTAGGGATCCTTAACTAATAGTGGCTTAATGCTAGTTGAGAACCACTGCTATAATGTACCTACGTACCTATTAGTCCTTATATCAGGTATATAATAATAGAATTATGGGTCTTGCGGGTGTTTTTCCTCCTATATTCGCATAATAGCGCACAGATATTTTTATATTTTTATGCGTGTGTACCTACGGCAAACGTGGTCGGTTTTGACGTCGAATACCGCCTACAGCAAATCGAGATTAAAAGTTGATAGGTATACGATAACAATGTTTTTTTCAGCCGTTGACCATCATCCAACCATCGTTTTATTATCATTTTTTTTTTTCAAATACGTTTTGCCGCTCGAGTTTGTTTGATTCTTGTTATTGATTTGTGAAGTTCATGAGATTTGAATAGGTAGGTACTCAGAAACAACCGCGTTTAAAAAAGGATAAGATCCCGACGGCTGATGTTTAAAATTTTAATTTTGCCATCTACCTATAACAAGGGGTTATTATGTTTGCGTTTTGATGATTGGATATTATTTCTTGTATATTATACACAACTCGAATACGCCACGCTCGTCTTGCCACACACCGTGTAAAATACGTTTTGGTATAATTATATATCTTTGCTATTAGGTATAATATGATTTAAATGGCCAATTAATAATTGTCCGATTCGCATAGCCGACCGACGAATTCCAAACTAATAAGTACACGAACTAAACAACAACTATTTTTCTCCACCTTGGTAGACATATATTAACAATAATACTATTTATCAGGTAGATAGGTTATTAATAATGCATTAGGTCTATAGGATCAAGTAAATGTGCAGTTTATTTCTGCGCCGTGGCGCACTGGTGCTATGAACCAAACAAAACTAGGACACTTTTTCTCGGCGATAATTTTTTACTATTCGTAAGCGACATTTTCTCTTAAATTCTTTAAATATTTCAAATACCTCAGTGTGTAGCCGAAAATTTCAAATATTTCAGTTATTTTGATTGGTATCCATTTGGACTTTTTATATTACACGTTTACGCATCTTTTAACAAGTAAATAATTGGGTACTTAATTAGTAGTTATGCATTTGCTCTGCACCTACATGTTGTCCTATACTGTTTAATATTTTTATAAACCTTATAAATGTACACACATTATCCATAATTCGATTTATAAGATTTTCGTTTTGAGGAACTAGGAAATTACACTTATGGGATTGATTATATTATAAATGTAAGAGGAGAAGTTTTCATTTCCTATAGATAGAATAATAATCATAAATTGATACGAAAATCATGACACTCGTTGAACGAGAGACGTCATGAGTAATGTGATCTCTAAATGTTGTGATCAAATCGAAACTGTAGTATAAATGCACAGCTATCTAGTAATAAATGAATCTAAGTCAACATATAGAAGATAAAATATTTAATTTTCTAAGTAAGATTCTTTTTATCCGTATAAAAAATCATTTGGAAGGTCAAAAATATATTTCATTATTTAATATTAATATATTAATAAATTATATGCATAGCTTCTATATGGATCATAGTTCATATATGATATTAGATAATAATTAGTAACAATATATCAACAACAAGCATAAAAACGTTGGTAAAATTTTCGGCTTGATTATACTTACTATGTCTAGTGACTAGTACAACAGTAGTACGATTACCTCCATAGTTACAAATAATATGAACTAAGTGAGATAAACACCATTAACCAAACATGTTTTTTTGTTCTTCCCTCATACATTCTAAATACTTAAAATATGATTGTATTTATTTATTTTAAAAATAACTTGCACATATTTTATTATTATTTTTAATTTATAATTTACTAATAATTATTGGCACTTGAGCAATAATTAACAAATTGAACAACGTAATTAATTTTATTTTTATTTATATTAATAATAACCGTTAAGGTTACAGTCACACACTAGATCATACAGGATTGAGTCACATCAATTATAATACAATGTGCAATGTTTTTGTTGTAATGCACATAAATTACAACAACTTATAAGTTCAAAGAAAATATATAGACGCTTGTATAAAATATGTGTTCTCAATGTAAGTACCTACTACCTACTTTATAATATTTGTATAATTATTTGCTTTGCACAAGACGTAGGTTTGAGCCATACATTCGACATAATAATAATGTTAATTTTCTCTGCTTGATATTACATTTCTCATATTTTGTTGATAATATTAAATAATATACTGACGCAGGCCTAAGAAAAAAGGATAATTTTAAATGAGCTCATCAGTTAATTTTTGGGTTAGAAGAAATTTATTTTCATATTTTACTAGCCAATTACAAGCCATTTAAAGAAACCACCTAGCCTCCCTCCTCCTCCAAGTTATACATCACGAATCACGACAATGTGTAGAGGGTGAATGACGCATTCTTTCGGAGCCTCAGGCAATCTGCTTGAAAACACGCTCAAGCGAGTTCACCGCAACTTTATATAAATAGACATGTAGCGTGTTATGAAAATGAGGATCATTATCATTAGCTTAATTTTTAAAAAATAAATTGACATGTGTTCGGCTATTAAAAATATGCACATAAAATTGTTTTAACATAAATATAAAAGGGAAACGCCGTGGCGTATTTATGGAATGAGCAAAAAGGAGTCCCCCGGCAATGGTGGTTTGGCCGTACATATTTATATATTTCATCAAATACTATACATAGTTATTTTATGTATTCTATAAAGTATATTGTAATTTATAAAATATAACTGATAACATAATAATCTACACGATTAGTTGTAATCAAGTTTTTCCTGATTATTGTTTACTTTAAA